CACCGTATTTCACATGTGGTTGACACCAGGCCTGTTTGGAGTTATGAATGTTTGCACTACACACATTAAGCTACACACTAGATTCTAGAATATAGGAAGTGGTGTTTGTATTTGTGGCTAATGATGCTACGCTTCAGGTCCAGTGAAAAGATAGATACAACAATGAATTTTAATGGTAGGTTTATTTGAACATTGAGAGACAGAATAACAACAAAGAAATCCAGAAAAACGCATGTAAAAAATGTTATAAATTGATTTGCATTTTAATGAGGGAAATAAGTATTTGACCCCCTCTCAATCAGAAAGATTTCAGGCTCCCAGGTGTCTTTTTATACAGGTAACGACCTGAGATTAGGAGCACACTCTTAAAGGGAGTGCTCCTAATCTCAGCTTGTTACCTGTATAAAAGAGACCTGTCCACAGAAGCAATCAATCAATCAGATTCCAAACTCTCCACCATGGCCAAGACCAAAGAGCTCTCCAAGGATGTCAGGGACAAGATTGTAGACCTACACAAGGCTGAAATGGGCTACAAGACCATCGCCAAGCAGCTTGGTGAGAAGGTGACAACAGTTGGTGCGATTATTCGCAAATGGAAGAAACACAAAGGAACTGTCAATCTCCCTCGGCCTGGGGCTCCATGCAAGATCTCACCTCGTGGAGTTGCAATGATTATGAGAACGGTGAGGAATCAGCCCAGAACTACACGGGAGGATCTTGTCAATGATCTCAAGGCAGCTGGGACCATAGTCACCAAGAAAACAATTGGTAACACACTACGCCGTGAAGGACTGAAATCCTGCAGCGCCCGCAAGGTCCCCCTGCTCAAGAAAGCACATATACAGGGCCGTCTGAAGTTTGCCAATGAACATCTGAATGATTCAGAGGAGAACTGGGTGAAAGTGTTGTGGTTAGATGAGACCAAAATCGAGCTCTTTGGCATCAACTCAACTCGCCGTGTTTGGAGAAGGAATGCTGCCTATGACCCCAAGAACACCATCCCCACCGTCAAACATGGAGGTGGAAACATTATGCTTTGGGGGTGTTTTTCTGCTAAGGGGACAGGACAACTTCACCGCATCAAAGGGACGATGGACGGGGCCATGTACCGTCAAATCTTGGGTGAGAACCTCCTTCCCTCAGCCAGGGCATTGAAAATGGGTCGTGGATGGGTATTCCAGCATGACAATGACCCAAAACACACGGCCAAGGCAACAAAGGAGTGGCTCAAGAAGAAGCACATTAAGGTCCTGGAGTGGCCTAGCCAGTCTCCAGACCTTAATCCCATAGCAAATCTGTGGAGGGAGCTGAAGGTTCGAGTTGCCAAACGTCAGCCTCGAAACCTCAATGACTTGGAGAAGTTCTGCAAAGAGGAGTGGGACAAAATCCCTCCTGAGATGTGTGCAAACCTGGTGGCCAACTACAAGAAACTTCTGACCTCTGTGATTGCCAACAAGAGTTTTTCCACCAAGTACTAAGTCATGTTTTGCAGAGGGGTCAAATACTTATTTCCCTCATTAAAATGTAAATCAATTCATAACATTTTTTACATGCGTTTTTCTGGATTTTTTTGTTTTTATTCTGTCTCTCACTTTTCAAATAAACCTACCATTAAAATGATAGACTGATCATGTCTTTGTCAGTGGGCAAACGTACAAAATCAGCAGGGGATCAAATACTGTTTTCCCTCACTGTACCTTACCATGTATGAGGTTAGAGAACACAGTCTTTTACTGTAGCAATTGAAGGCTTGCTAAAATATGGGCCAGGTTATATCTTAAGCACTTATGCATTTACTGTGCATAGTACATTAAAGAAGCAGCAATAACAATCTCTCAGCATCATAAGAGGAAACGTACTCAGGAAGTGCAACCATTACAAGGCTGTAACAAAAGGAGAAGAAGTCATTATCTGGATTTATACTGAATGTTTTTGAGTAGTTATTCATGAGGGACAACTTTCATTGTGGTTTGACCTTATCATGTTATAGTAGCTTATTGCATTGTTATGAGTTCCAGTACATCATAACCACCAGGGGATGTTATCATGGTAATATCATTTTATTGACATAACACAAACAGAAACATTAACACGTAATGTTGAGCACACATATGACAACAATACAAACAGTGCCTTGTAAAAGTATTCATCCCACTTGGCATTTTTCGTATTTTGTTGCATTACAACCTGTGATTTAAATAGATTTTTATTTGGATTTCATGTAATGGACATACACAAAATAGTCCAAATTGGTGAAGTGAAATGAAAAAAATAACTTGTTTCAAAAAATTCTAAAAAATAAATTACGGAAAAGTGATGCGTGCATATGTATTCAACCCCTTTGCTATGAAGCCCCTAAATAAGTAACATAATTAGTTAAATAAAGTCCACCTGTGTGCAATCTAAGTGTCACATGATCTGTCACGATCTCAGTATATATACACCTGTTCTGAAAAGCCCCAGAGTCTGCAACACCACTAAGCAAGGGGCACCACCAAGCAAGGGGCACCATGAAGACCAAAGAGCTCTCCAAACAGGTCAGGGGCAAAGATTTGGAGAAGTACAGATCAAAACAATATCAGAAACTTTGAACATCCCACGGAGCACCATTAAATCCATTGTAAAAAAATTGAAAGAATATGGCACCACAACAAACCTGCCAAGAGAGGACCGCCCACCAAAACTCACGGACCAGGCAAGGAGGGCATTAATCAGAGAGGCAACAAAGAGACTAAAGATAACCCTGAAGGAGCTGCAAAGCTCCACAGCGGAGATTGGAGTATCTGTCCATAGGACCACTTTAAGCCATACACTCCACAGAGCTGGGCTTTACGGAAGAGTGACCAGAAAAAAGCCATTGCTTAAAGAAAAATATAAACAAACATGTTTGGTGTTTGCCAAAAGCCATGTGGGAGACTCCCCAAATATATGGTAGAAGGTTCTCTGGTCAGATGAGACTCAAATTGAGCTTTTTGGCCATCAAGGAAAACGCTATGTCTGGCGTAAACCCACCACCTCTCATCACCCCGAGAACACCATCCCCACAGTGAAGAATGGTGGTGGCAGCATCATGCTGTGGGGATGTTTTTCATCGGCAAGGACTGGGAAACTGGTCAGAATTGAAGGAATGATGGATGGCCCTAAATACAGGGAGATTCTTGAGGGAAACCTGTTTCAGTCTTCCAGAGATTTGAGACAGGGACGGAGGTTCACCTTCCAGCAGGACAATGACCCTAAGCATACCTGTAAAGCAAAACTCGAGTGGTTTAAGGGGAAACATTTAAATGTCTTGGAATGGCCTAGTCAAAGCCCAGACCTCAATCCAATTGAGAATCAGTGGTATGACTTAAAGATTGCTGTACACCAATGGAACCCATCCAACTTGAAGGAGCTGGAGCAGTTTTGCCTTGAAGATTGGGCAAAAATCCCAGTGACTAGATGTGCCAAGCTTATAGAGACATACCCCAAGAGACTTGCAGTTGTAATTGCTGCAAAAGGTGGCGCTACACCTATAGTTATGCACGCTCAAGTTTTCTGTTTTTTTGTCTTATTTCTTGTTTGTTTCACAATAATAAATAATTTGCATCTTCAAAGTGGTAGGTATGTTGTGTAAATCAAATGAAACAAACCCCCCAAAAAATCAATTTTAGTTCCAGTTTGTAAGGCAACAAAATAGGAAAAAAGCCAAGGGGGGTGAATACTTTCGCAAGCCACTGTACAAGATAGGAGGTTGCACATTAAAATAGATAATATACAGAATATTGAACTGTCACACAGACAAGACATGTACATTCTACTCATTTAGCAAAAGGTCAGAGCAACTTATGAAAACTACATTCCACAAAGGTAGGTGAGGCAACATACCCACGTCATCCCAAGTAAACCTTTCTCAAACATAGGTGCTAGTGGCAGCCAGTGCAAGAATAAAAGCAAGATTCAAAAGTGATGTACTATAATTTTTATAGAATCCTTAAATGAAACAATAACAAAGTGTAATCCCGCCCATGTTTTGCTAAAAAGCTAAAGGATAGAGCTGGAGAAATGTAACCGGTCTCAAATTCATAGAGCTATGGATGCAAGGACTGACCATCCATGATATAAAATGTATAGTTTTAACCATGTTTTGAGTCCATACAGTGTTTGTTTACATTTATATTGTTATATATACAAGCTTATATTTTGGGTACTTATGGGGTATGATAGTTGAACTAAGCTCATGAGGCATTTTAAGTTATATTTATAAAAAATTAATGAGTATATATCATTAATTTATAAGTCCAAAAATGTATGTAGAACCTAAGGATTCTAGCTTTAATAGCCTCCAGTATATTTTTCACTAAACAGTCATTAAAAAAAAACTACAACAGCGTTGGTCACATTTATCGGCGACAGAGGGAGACAAAAACAACTTTGTGTCCACATTGAAAAGAAAAATTACTCATGGATAAAATTGCACTTACAACACGCCATCATAGGTAGATGTCCTTGCCTCTGTACTGCTTTGACCACTTTCTGATCTTCTCCCAGAGGCAGAAGTCCACTATTTAGACCTAACATCAATGTGCTCAGTTAGCCTACTCAATCAGTTTAGCTGTTCTAACACCAGTTCTCTTGCACCCTCTTCCCTCTCTCTTCCCTCCCCGCTTCTCTCTCTCTTTCCTCCCCTCTTCCCTCTCTCTTCCCCCCTCTTCTCTCTCTTTTTCCTCCCCTCTTCCCTCTCTCTTTCCTCCCCTCTTCCCTCTCTCTTTCCTCCCCTCTTCCCTCTCTCTTTCCCCCCTTCTCTCTCTCTTTCCTCCCCTCTCGCCCTCTCTCTTTCCTCCCCTCTTCCCTCTCTCTTTCCTCCCCTCTTCCCTCTCTCTTCCCCCCCCCTTCTCTCTTTCCTCCCCTCTTCCCTCTCTCTTTCCTCCGCTCTTCCCTCCTTTCCCCTCTTCCCTTTTAGCCTCCCTTCTTTTGTCCTTTTCCCTGTTTGCGTGCCGGTCCCTTGGTCACTGTCTCTCTCTCTATTTTCCCTCCTCCTCTTCTCTCTTGATCGTCTTGGCTTCATCCACCTTTCCCATTGCCTTCCTCACCCAATCCCTTCCTGGGTCAGCGCAGATCCTCTCCCTGCCTGCGGTGTGTAACCTGGAATAGATCAAGAGGTCAATCGTTTCGGTGAGGTCATTTTTATTCTCTGTCATTTCCCGGTGAAGACATTGGTAGTGGAGTAAAACCAGTGGTTCTGTGTGATATTGTAGGATACGCACAATAGCATCGTTGGACACATGCTAATCTTTACGGTGTAGTATGACTGAGTAGGAAATATGAATGTAGGGTACTGACACTATAGCGTCGATGGGACACAACGGTGTAGTCTGTACGGTGTAGTACACTATGTTTTTAGGCTGGACTCTTGTCTGAGACAGCTGAAGACAACAGCTCTTGACGGGTCCAACGTCTATACAGGGGAGAGAAAGAGAACAATCTACTATGTTTACACATAGTTTACACACACGTACACATTACATACGTACACACAGACACACACACTTTCATTCATAATATTAGAGGTATTAAATCACTTGCATAGACCCCGGCCATCCATGAGGCTACACAGAGCAGAGTGCAGAACACCAGACTCAACCTCATCTTCAGGTGGTGAAAGTGCTCAGATTTGAACATTTTTAGATTTAGAAGTCGTAATGTGGTGCCCAACCGTTCTGACTGATTGGCTACCTCCTAGCCCTGACCTTATAGGTAGAGGAAGTCCCACCCACACCTTTAGGTCTGATAGCCCCCCCTCTTTCCTCTTCCTCCACACCCGTCTCACCCCCACCCTTTGGCTTGTCACCCAGTCCGTGGCTAGCAGAGACACTCTGGCATGGCTGTAGAGAGGAAACTATGAACGGAAGATCATCACAAAAAGACCCCTCACCACAAGCGCATCAACACATACACACACACAGACACGCACACACACACACACACACATGCATCACTCGCCACACCTCTCATGCTTAGCCACAAGTCTCTACTTAAAGAGATGGAAGAGACATGAGTCAACTGATATTTAGGGCTGCCAAACTGTTGAATAATGAATTGCTAATTCTGAATTTGCTCAAATTGAGCTGTAATTCAAGATTTTTTATATCAAAAAGCATTACAAGAATATTGATGTCTTGATTTTGTACGAAGTAACGATAAGCAAAATCATGTAAATTTATAAAGCAGCTTTCTTTAATCTCAATGTCAACTTGTTTTGACATCAGATTGTTGTTTTTAGCTGTATAGCTGTATAGATTATGTATTTTTGATGTTTTCAGTGTATTTTGAACGCTTTCAGACAATGTGATTAATTTCACACAAAATAAAATTGGGTACTACAATTTTTAAAAGTTAACTCGAGTTAACTGATTAACTGATTAACTTTGACAGCCCTAATGATATTACATGCTGTACAATAGGAATATATGATATGATAGTGTATACTATGCAGTGGTAGTGTGTGGATTTCTTGCAACACCCCCTGAAGTGGAGAAATAGAGTGAAGTTTTCAGTGGTTCTGGGTGAGTAACAGTAGCACATCTTTTACACATTGTCTAAATGGGGTCTGTAGATAGTTCTGTCTGTCCTTGTCCAATACAGTGAAGTTCATGTTAATGTCATTATGTCCTTAGCTCAGACCAGTTAAACTTAAATTGAGTCTAGTTGTGTGGCACGGGGTTTCTCTGTAACAGACAGCGAATGTGTTTTACTATGGGCAAGGGGGCATGGCAGCTGTACTTTTAAATGGAGGCCACATATCCACTTTAATAAGGAACTAGAGAGACAGGGAGAGTAGGAGAGAAGGAGAAAAAGACGAAAAGGGCAGAGACCCAAATATTCACACTTTTACACAGCAGTATAACCACTCAGGAAAGAAAGGTAAGAAGTACTTAGTGCCAGTCTGAGTGGCAGTATAATAAACGTCTGCATTTACCACATCTAACAGAACAGAACAGAACAGACTGCACAGAGAGAGAAGGGAAATTATAGGAGAAAGAGAGGGAGAACTAAAGAGAAAGAAAGATAGATAGGGAGAGGATGACAGTGAAAGAGGAAATGTAGAGAATAATAGAATGAGGGGTAGAAGCAGAAAGAGAGAGATGAGCACCCTGCTTATCTATGCGGGAGTTAGAAGGCCTTGCTAGATTATTCATTTATTTGTTATTCATTTATTTGTTATTCCCTGGTTCTTTTTGGTGCCGTGGTTGTTGAATTGCTGACAGCGTGGCAGATAGAAATTAGATTGGTGATAAGGCGGGCGATTGGAATGAGCGTCGCAGTAAATTACAATCAATACTGCCTCTTATATCCTCATCCGACATCGATCTGGGAGCTGGGATGAGAGACGCAGCATAAACATGGCAGAGACAGAACAATGCACAAACACACAAATAAACGTATGTATGCACATACTGACACACACATAAACACAAATGAAGGGCTGCATTAAATAGGCTTATTGTTTTATAGAACGCTGGGGAGAGTCAGATAAGCACGAGAGAGAGACAAATCTCCACCGTACAACACACACACACACACACATACACGCACACACACACACACACACGCACGCACACACGCACACACACATACACACACACATAAGGAAGTTCAGTTTGGCCTGTCTGTCACACAGATGTAATCATTATTGTTTATGATTGTTTTGTGCAACACTGGCTCATAGCGCTGTTTAAGTGTGTAGGAACGTGTGGGTTGAATGGTAATCAGAACAACAAATTGACTGTTTTACATGAACCTTCAGTGTATTCCAATTTCCTACAGAGCCAGCTTAGATACACAGCTACATGCTAAATGACTAAAATATATACAGTATATAACAAAAAATTGTAAATGTAAACCTATGGCTCCTGGTCGAGTGTTCAGACAGCAGGGTGGACAGACAGACAAACAGGAATACAGGCAGGCAGACAGGCAGGACGGTGGGGAGGCAGGAGGGTGGGCAGGCAGGAGGGTGGATGGGCGGGCGGGCATACAGGAGGGCGGGCAGATGGGTGGGCAGGTAGGAGGGCGGGCAGGCAGGAGGGTGGGCAGTGTGAATGTGTGTAATAAAACAGTGCTTAATAACACTGCAGAGGTAATTACACTTCTGTAGAGCAGCCAAGCGTTAAATATGATACTGTAACACAGCACTGGCGGCCTCCTACCCAATGACTACACCCCAAGAAAAGAGGCTGTGGTGGTACAATGTGATGTCCATACTGTAGCGTGTGTGTATATACTTCTGTGGATGTAATGTGCATGGAAGAATTCCCAATTAAAGTTGTATTTAATTATATTGGTGACCTTCATCCTTTAAAGCTCTCTATTACCCCTGGTAGAAAGGAGACATTACAACGTCTGAGAGGGGGGGGGGGGGGGGGGGGGGGGGGGGCACAGCAGGATTTGATGGAAATGGGCAGAGAGGTGGGGTAGATATTTAATTAGATAGAGAAAGAGAAAGGGTGGAAGAGAAAGAAAAGAGAAGGGAGAAAGGAAAAAGGAAAAAGAGAGCTGTGAGAGGTGGATGGGGGAGAGAGAGGGGGAAGGGGGAGAGGGGGAGAGGGGAGGGTAGAGGGGGAGAGGGGGAGAGTGAGAAGGGGACGAGGGGGAGGGGTGGGGAAGAGTGAAGAGTGGAGAGGGGAGAGGGGTGAGAGGGGAAGGAGGGAGAGGGTGACGAGGGGGGGAGAGGGGAGAGAGAGGGAAGAGGGAGAGTGAGGGGGAGAGTGAGAGGGCAAGAGGGGAGAGGGGAACAGGGAGAGTGAGAGGGGGTGAGAGTGGGAGGGGGGGAGAGGGGGAAGAGGGGAGAGGGGAGAGGGGATAGAGGGGGAGAGTAGGGGAGGTGAGAGGGGGGGAGAGTGGGGGAGAGGGGGAGAGGGGAGAGTGGGGGGGAGTGAGAGGGGGGGGAGTGAGAGTGAGAGGGAGGGGAGAGGGGGAGGTAAGGAGGAGAGGGAGGGGGGAGGGGGAGAGTGAGAGTGAGCGAGGGGGAGAGGGAGGAAGGAGAGGAGGGAGGGAGAGTGATCCATTAGAGAGAAAGGAAAGAGGAGAGGGGACTATGTACTTTAGAAGAGAACTCTAGACTAACTTTAGAGTCACATTCTGATGGCTCTGACCTTTCCACAAAACTGATATAGTTAGTCTAGGAGTTTTCATTTCTAAAGAACATTTTGAAACCTGATATGCTGTAAGCTTAATATGCTGTTGTTACCAAGACTACTATTGTGAAAACTAAAGGGCAGACAGACAACACACTGATGATCCATGTTATAGTCACGTTCACTCTCTGGATGTTTTCTCTCCCTTTCTCTCCTGCTTTTTCTCTGTCCATCTGTATTGTATCTCTTTATCTCTATATCCCTCTCTGAATCCCCTCTTCACTCCCCCATCTCTGCATGTCTGTCTGTCTGGCCTTCATCAGGTGCAGAGGGAGATATGATTAGTGGCTAGGCAGGCAGGGTGAGATGGAGAGATGATTGTCTGTCTGTCTGTTCTGAGATTCAACAGATCTGTCTGTTATTCACCAGCCCGCTGCCTGCTGCCCGGCTCTAGGCTAAACACACCACTGCTTCACCTCTCTGACACACACACACACACACACACACACACACGCAACGCCTGGATGCCTGGTGAATAGCTAATGAGTCCCTGAGAGCCAGTGTGTGTCTGTCTCTAATCAGTAGAACAGTGACCTGTGTATCATGCATAAGGTAATATTATAGAAAACAGAACAGCGCCGGAAGAAGATGGCTGCCGTTTTACAGCCCTCTAACCAATTGTACTATTATGTGTGTTTTTCCGCGTTATTTGTAATTTATTTTGTACATAATGTTTCTGCCATCGTCTCTTATAACCAAAGAGAGCTTCTGGATATCAGGACAGCGATTACTCACCTCGCATTGGACGAATATTTTTTCTTCAACGAGGCGTTCGCGAAGGATATCATACAGACACCCGACAAGGTCCAGATCCCCGTCATTCGCGTGATGAAGAGACGGAGATATCGCGGACGCAGATCCGGGTGCCTCGTAAGGATCCGACGGCGAGCGAGTAAACTGCCTCTCCCATCAATCCTATTAGCCAACGTTCAATCTTTTGAGAATAAAATTGACGATTTAAGATTACGGTTATCCTACCAACGGGACATTAAAAACTGTAATATCTTATGTTTCACGGAGTCGTGGCTGAACGACAACAATGATAACATTCAGCTAGCGGGCTATACGCTACATCGACAGGACAGAACTGCAGACTCTGGTAAGACAAGGGGTGGCGGTCTCTGTATATTTGTAAACAACAGCTGGTGCACAAAATCAAATACCAAGGAAGTCTCGAGGTTTTGCTCGCCTGAGGTAGAGTATCTTCTGATAAGCTGTAGACCACACTATTTACCAAGAGAGTTTTCATCTATATTTTTCATAGCTGTCTATTTACCACCACAAACCAATGCTGGCATTAAGATTGCACTGAATGAGTTGTACAAGGCCATTAATCAACAGGAAAACGCTCATCCAGATGCAGCGCTCCTAGTAGCCGGGGACTTTAATGCAGGGAAACTTAAATCCGTTCTACCTAATTTCTACCAGCATGTTAAATGTGCAACCAGAGGGAAAAAAAACTCTAGACCACCTTTACTCCACACAAAGAGACGCATACAAAGCTCTCCCTCGCCCTCCATTTGGCAAATCTGACCATAACTCTATCCTCCTGATTCCTGCTTATAAGCAAAAACTGAAGCAGGAAGCACCAGTGATTCGGTTAATAAAAAAGTGGTCAGATGACGCAGATGCTAAGCTACAGGACTGTTTTGCTAGCACAGACTGGAACATGTTCCGGGATTCTTCAGACAGCATTGAGGAGTACACCACATCAGTCACTGGCTTCATCAATAAGTGCATCGATGATGTCGTCCCCACAGTGACCGTACGTACATACCCCAACCAGAAGCCATGGATTACAGGAAACATCCGCACTGAGCTAAAGGGTAGAGCTGCCGCTTTCAAGGAACGGGACTCTAACCCGGACGCTTATAAGAAATCCCGCTATGACCTCCGACGAACCATCAAACAGGCAAAGAGTCAATACAGGTCTAAGATTGAATCATACTACACTGGCTCTGACGCTCGTCGGATGTGGCAGGGCTTGAAAACTATTACAGACTACAAAGGGAAGCACAGCCGCGAGCTGCCCAGTGACACAAGCCTACCAGACGAGCTAAACCACTTCTATGCTCGCTTCGAGGCAAGCAACACTGAAGCATGCATGAGAGCACCAGCTGTTCCGGACGACTATGTGATCACGCTCTCCGTAGCCGATGTGAGTAAGACTTTTAAGCAGGTCAACATTCACAAGGCCGCAGGGCCAGACGGATTACCAGGACGTGTACTCCGAGCATGTGCTGACCAACTGGCAAGTGTCTTCACTGACATTTTCAACATGTCCCTGACTGAGTCTGTAATACCAACATGTTTCAAGCAGACCACCATAGTCCCCGTGCCCAAGAACTCTAAGATAACCTGCCTAAATGACTACCGACCCGTAGCACTGACGTCTGTAGCCATGAAGTGCTTTGAAAGACTGGTCATGGCTCACATCAACAGCATAATCCCAGAAACCCTAGACCCACTCCAATTTGCATACCGCCCCAACAAATCCACAGATGATGCAATCTCTATCGCACTCCACACTGCCCTTTCCCACCTGGACAAGAGGAACACCTACGTGAGAATGCTATTCATTGACTACAGCTCAGCATTCAACACCATAGTGCCCTCTAAGCTCATCACTAAGCTAAGGATCCTGGGACTAAACACCTCCCTCTGCAACTGGATCCTGGACTTCCTGACGGGCCGCCCCCAGGTGGTAAGGGTAGGTAACAACACATCTGCCACACTGATCCTCAACACGGGGGCCCCTCAGGGGTGCGTGCTCAGTCCCCTCCTGTACTCTCTGTTCACCCATGACTGCATGGCCAGGCACGACTCCAACACCATCATTAAGTTTGCCGACGACACAACAGTGGTAGGCCTGATCACCGACAACGATGAGACAGCCTATAGGGAGGAGGTCAGAGATCTGGCCGTGTGGTGCCAGGACAACAACCTCTCCCTCAACGTGACCAAGACAAAGGAGATGATTGTGGACTACAGGAAAAAAAAGAGGACTGAGCACGCCCCCATTCTCATCGACGGGGCTGTAGTGGAACAGGTTGAGAGCTTCAAGTTCCTTGGTGTCCACATCACCAACGAACTATCATGGTCAAAACACACCAAGACAGTCGTGAAGAGGGCACGACAAAGCCTATTCCCCCTCAGGAGACTAAAAAGATTTGGCATGGGTCCTCAGATCCTCAAAAAATTCTACAGCTGCACCATCGAGAGCATCCTGACTGGTTGCATCACCGCCTGGTATGGCAACTGCTTGGCCTCTGACCGCAAGGCACTACAGAGGGTAGTGCGTACGGCCCAGTACATCACTGGGGCAAAGCTCCCTGCCATCCAGGACCTCTATACCAGGCGGTGTCAAAGGAAGGCCCTCAAAATTGTCAAAGACTCCAGCCACCCTAGTCATAGACTGTTCTCTCTGCTACCGCACGGCAAGCGGTACCGGAGTGCCAAGTCTAGGTCCAAAAGACTTCTCAACAGCTTCTACCCCCAAGCCATAAGACTCCTGAACAGCTAATCATGGCTACCCGGACTATTTGCACTGCCCCCCCACCCCATCCTTTTTACGCTGCTGCTACTCTGTTAAGTATTTATGCATAGTCACTTTAACTCTACCCACATGTACATATTACCTCAACTACCTCAACTAGCCGGTGCCCCCGCACATTGACTCTGCAACGGTACCCCCCTGTATATATAGCCTCCCTACTGTCACTTTATTTTACTGTATATATAGCCTCCCTACTGTCACTTTATTTTACTTCTGCTCTTTTTTTCTCAACACTTTTTTGTTGTTGTTGTTTTATTCTTACTTTTTTTGTTTAAAATAAATGCACTGTTGGTTAAGGGCTGTAAGTAAGCATTTCACTGCAATGTCTGCACCTGTTGTATTCGGCGCATGTGACCAATAAAATTTGATTTGATTTGATTATATAGCACCTTGGTAGACTGGGCAGCCAAGTTTAGAGCCTTCTAGCCTACTCCCAGTATAGAGGTGATCACTGTAGTCTTTATTGATGAGTGTATGAAGTTAGAGAAATATAGAATATCGGCTTAGATTGTTTCAGGTGCCTGAGGTCTGGGAAGATTTGTATAGGCAATCAACATTGACTGCCAAGTATTGTGCTCATACCAGCCATATCTATTTCATTAATGATATGTACTATCTGAGATGCTTTGAGCACTGACTGAATGTTTGGTAGAGCATGGTGCTTGCAATGCCAGGATAGTGTGTCCGATTCCCGCGACCACCCATACTTATAATGTACGCACACATTACATTTACATTTTAGTCATTTAGCAGACGCTCTTATCCAGAGCAACTTACAGTTAGTGAATACATTTTTTTTTATACTGGCCCCCCGTGGGAATCGAACCCACAACCCTGGCGTTGCAAACGCCATGCTCTATCAACTGAGCTACATCCCTGCCGGCCATTCCCTCCCCTACCCTGGACAAATTGTGCGCCGCCCATGAGTCTCCCGGTCGCGACAGAGCCTGGATTCGAACCAGGATCTTTAGTGGCACAGTTAGCACTGCGATGCAGGGCCTTAGACCACTGCGCCACTCAGGAGCTAAGACTACATGACTATAAGTTGCTTTGGATAAAATATCTGCTGGATGGTGTATATTTTTATTTTTATTATTTCAATCAATCTTTTGGTCCCATAGCTGGTGTCAGGTGCATGGGCTGTGTGTGCGTATATCAAATCAAATCACATTCTATTTGTCACATGCGCCAAATACAACAGGTGAAATACCTTACAGTGAAATGCTGACTTACAAGCCCTTAACCAACAATGCAGTTTTAAGACAATGCAAATAGTCCGGGTAGCCATTTGATTAGCTGTTCAGGAGTCTTATGGCTTGCGGGTAGACGCTGTTAAGAAGCCTTGTGGACCTAGACTTGGTGCTCCGGTACCTCTTGCCGTGCGGTAGCAGAGAGAACATTCTATGACTTCCTCTGACACCGCCTGGTATAGAGATCCTGGATGGCAGGAAGCTTGACCACAGTCATGTACTGGGCCGTACGCACTACCCTCTGTAGTGCCTTGTGGTCTGAGGCCGAGCAGTTGCCAAACCAAGCAGTGATGCAACCTGTCAGGATGCTCTCGATGGTGTATCTGTATAACTTTTTGAGGATCTGAGGACCCATGCCAAATCTTTTCAGTCTCCTGAGGGGGAATAGGCTTTGTAGTGCCCTCTTCATGACTGTCTTGGTGTGTTTGGACCATGATAGTTTGTTGGTGATGTGGACACCAAGGAACTTGAAGCTCGCAACCTGCTCCACTACAGCCCCAACAATGTGAAAGAGGGTGTGCTCGGTCCTCTTCTTTTTCCTGTAGTCCACAATCATCTCCTTTGTCTTGATCACATTGAGGGAGAGGTTGTTATCCTGGCACCACATGGCCAGATTTCTGACCTCCTCCCTATAGGCTGTCTCATTGTTGTCGGTGATCAGGCCTACCACTGTTGTGTCGTCAGCAAACTTAATGATGTAGTCATGCCTGGCCATGCAGTCGTGGGTAAATAGGGAGTACAGGAGGGGACTGAGCACACACCTCTGAGGGGCCCCCGTGTTGAGGATCAGCGTGGCAGATGTGTTGTTACCTACCCTTACCACCTGGGGGCGACCCGTCAGGAAGTCCAGGATCCAGTTGCAGAGGGAGGTGTTTAGTCCCAGGGTACATAGCTTCGTGATTAACTTTGAGGGCACTATGGTGTTGAACGCTGAGCTGTAGTCAGTAAATAGCATTCTCACGTAGGTGTTCCTTTTGTCCAGGTGGGAAAGAGAAGTGTGGAGCGCAATGGAGATTGCATCATCTGTGGATCTGTTGGAGCGGTATGCAAATTGGAGTGGGTCTAGGGTTTCTGGGATAATGGTGTTGATGTGAGCCATGACCAGCCTTTCAAAGCACTTCATGGCTACAGACGTGAGTGCTATGGGTCGGTAGTCATTTAGGCAGGTTACCTTAGTGTTCTTGGGCACAGGGACTATGGTGGTCTGCTTGAAACATGTTGATATTACAGACTCAGTCAGGGACAGGTTGAAAATATCAGCGAAGACACTTGCCAGTTGGTTAGGGCGTGCTGGTAATAAGTCTGGCCCTGCAGCCTTGTGAATGTTGACCTGTTTTAAGGTCTTACTCACATCGGCTACGGAGAGCGTGATAACATAGTCATTCAGAACGGCTGATGCTCTCATGCATGCTTCAGTGTTGCTTGCCTCGAAGCGAGCATAGAAGTAATTTAGCTCGTCTGGTAGGCTTGTGTCACTGGGCAGGTCACGGCTTTGCTTCGCTTTGTAGTCTGTAATAGTTTGCAAGCCCTGCCACATCCGACGAGAGTCGGAGCCGGTGTAGTACGATTCAATATTTGTCCTGTATTGACGCTTTGCCTGTCTGATAGTTCGTCGGAGGGCATAGCGGGATTTCTCATAAGCGTCCTGGTTAGAGTCCTGCTCCTTGAATGCGGCAGCTCTACCGTTTAGCTCAGTGCAGATGTTGCCTGTAATCCATGGCTTCTGGTTGGGGTATGAACGTACGGCCACTGTGGGGAAGACGTCATCGATGCACTTATTGATGAAGCCAGTGACTGATGTGGTGTACTCCTCAATGCCATCGGAAGAATCCCGGAACATATTCCAGTCTCTGCTAGCAAAACAGTCCTGTAGCATAGCATCTGCATCATTTGACCACTGCATTTTATGGACCGTGTTGCTGGTGCTTCCTGCTTTAGTTTTTGCTTGTAAGCAGGAATCAGGAGGATGGAATTATGGTCAGATTTGCCAAATGGAGGGTGAGGGAGAGTTTTGTACGCGTCTCTAGAGTTTTTTTCCCCTCTGGTTGCATAGTTAACATTCTGGTAGTAACTAGGAAAAACTGATAAAGTTTTCCTGCGTTAAAGTCCCCGGCCACTAGGAGCGCCGCCTCTGGATGAGCGTTTTCCTGTTTGCTTATGTCCTTATACAGCTCATTGAGTGCGGTCTTAGTGCCAGTATCGGTTTGTGGTGGTAAAGAGACAGCTACGAAAAATATAGATGAAAACTCTCTTGGTAAATAGTGTGGTCTACAGTTTATCATGAGATAATCTACCTCAGGCAAGCAAAACCTAGATACTTCATATAGATTTTGTGCACCAGCTGTTGTTTACAAATATACACAGACCACCACCCCTTGTATTACCAGAGGCGGCGGTTCTATCTTGCCGATGCAGCGTAAACCCTGCCAGCTGTATGTTATCCATGTCGTCGTTCAGCCACAACTCGGTGAAACATAAGATATTACAGTTTTTAATGTCCCGTTGGTAGGATATTCGTGATCGTAGCTCATCTATTTTGTTATCCAATGATTGTACATTAGCTAATAGGACTGATGGTAGAGGCAGATGACCCACTCGCCGTCGAATCCTTACAAGGCATCCCGACCTGCGTCCCCAATACGTCTATTTCTCCTGCGAATGACGGGGATTTGGGCCTTGTCGAGTGTCTGAAGTAAATTCTTCGCGTCCAACTCGTTAATCTCTATGGGATCAGTGTCCCGTATACGGGACAGTTGAGCTAACGTGCGCTAATGTGATTAGCATGACTGTTGTAAGTAACATTAAACTTTCCAGGACATAGACATGTCTTATATGGGCAGAAAGTTTAAATTCTTGTTAGTCTAACTGAACTGTCCAATTTACAGTGAAAAAATACCATGCTATTGTTTGAGGAGAGCGCACAACAACAAAAAACGTATCACGGCAACTGGTTTGATACATTCACCTCTGAAGGTAAATAATGTACTTACATTCAGTAATCTTGCTCTGATTTGTCATCCTATGGGTCCCAGAGATAAAATGTAGCATGGTTTTGTTTGATAAAATCAATTTTTATATTCAAATGTAGTAACTGGGTTCTACAGTTTGAACCCTTGCTGTCTCTGGCTCCACACCCACCCCGCCCGGCCATCTAGATAAGCTAATGATCCATCATGTATGACATTCCTGGGAGTGTGTAAACTTACATTTTATTACCATATCATTTTTGTATGTTCTCTATAGTTATATACTTGAAAATGTATCAATTGACCAATTCGGCACACTTTATACAAAATAGTCCAGTATTGCAATTTACATTTACGTCATTTAGCAGACGCTCTTATCCAGAGCGACTTACAGTTAGTGAGTGCATACATTAGTTTTTTTTTTTTCATACCCCCGTGGGAATCGAACCCACAACCCTGGCGTTGCAAACACCATGCTCTACCAACTGAGCTACATCCATGCCGGCCATTCCCTCCCCTACCCTAGACGACGCTGGGCCAATTGTGCGCCGCCCCATGGGTCTCCCGGTCACGGCCGGCTACGACAGAGCAATGAATCACTGGATCAATCTGAAACTTTGCACTCACCCTGCTGCCAGCTATTGGCCAAAATCTAAATTGCGCCTGAACTGCAATATTATATTGTGGCCTTTCTCTTGCATTTCAAAGTTGATGGAACAAAATAAAATAGTTTGTATTATATTATACTAGATCTAATGTGTTATATGCAGTGCCTTGCAAAAGTATTCGTCCCCTTTGGCGTTTTGTTGCATTACAACCTGTAATTTACATTTATTTTTATTTGCATTTCATGTAATGGATATACACAAAATAGTCCAAATTGGTGAAGTGAAATGAAAAAAATATGGCACCACAACAAACCTGCCAAGAGAGGGCCGCTAACCAAAACTCACGGACCAGGCAAGGAGGGCATTAATCAGAGAGGCAACAAAGAGACCAAAGATAACCCTGAAGGAGCTGCAAAGCTCCACAGCGGAGATTGGAGTATCTGTCCATAAGACCACTTTAAGCCGTACACTCCACATATCTGGGCTTTACGGAAGAGAGGCCAGAAAAAAGCCATTGCTTAAAGAAAGAAATAAGCAAACACGTTTGGTGTTCACCAAAAGGCATGTGGGAGACTCCCCAAACATATGGAAGAAGGTACTCTGGTCAGATGAGTGTGATGAGTGTGAATAGAAGGAGTCAGGCGCAGGAGGGTAAATCACCGAATACAGAGTTTATTCCGTCGTACACAGTTGCGCTGGATAGCGACAACAAAATACAGGCACAGGGGAAGAATCTTCCCCGGCAAAACAAGGTATGGGTAGCTCCAACAAAATACAGGCACAGGGGAATAATCTACCCCGGCAAATACAAGGTATGAGTAGCTCCACCGTGCTACACTCGACTCACATAAAGCAATCACCCACAAGGACAAGGGGGCAGAGGGAGCACTTATACAGGGACTAATGAGGGGATATGAACCAGGTGTGTGTAATTGACAAGACAAGACAAATGGAATGATGATATATGGAGCGGCAGTGGCTAGTAAGCTGGTGACGACGAATGGCGAAGCCTGCCCGAACAAGGAGGGGAGGCAACCTCGGCGGAAGTCGTGACAATGAGACAAAAATTGAGCTTTTTGGCCATCAAGGAAAACGCTATGTCTGGCGCAAACCCAACACCTCTCATCACCCCGAGAACACCATCCCCACAGTGAAGCATGTTTTTCATCGGGAGGGACTGGGAAACTGGTCAGAATTGAAGGAATGATGGATGGCGCTAAATACAGGGAAATTCTTGAGGGAAACCTGTTTCAGTCTTCCAGAGATTTGAGACTGGGACGGAGGTTCACCTTCCAGCAGGACAATGACCCTAAGCATACTGCTAAAGCAACACTTGAGTGGTTTAAGGGGAAATTTAAATGACTTGGAATGGCCTAGTCAAAGCCTAGATATCAATCCAATTGAGAATCTGTGGTGTGACTTAAAGATTGCTGTACACCAGCAGAACCCATCCAACTTGAAGGAGCTGGAGCAGTTTTGCCTTGAAGAATGGGCAAAACCCCAGTGGCTAGATGTGCCAAGCTTATAGAGACATACCCCAAGAGACTTGCAGCTGTAAGGCAATTTCAGGTTGTAAGGCAACAGAATAGGAAAAATGTCAAGGGGGGTGAATACTTTCGCAAGCCAATGTAGTCCTACATTAATTTCACATTTCCACAAACTTCAAAGTTTTTCCTTTCAAATGGTATTGAGAATATGCATATATTTGCTTCAGGTCCTGAGCTGCAGGCAGTTAGATTTGGGTATGACATTTTAGGCGAATATGGAAAAAAAGGGTCAGATCCTTAAGAAGTGAAACACAAAATCTTCATCCAGTACGAGGTGAGTAATCGCTGTCCTGATATCCAGAAGCTCTTTTCGGTCATAAGAGACGGTGGCAGAAACATTATGTACAAAATAAGTTACAAATAACGCGACAAAACACACACAATAGCACAATCTTCTCTGGCGCAATTCTTGTGTATATGTGTGTGTGAGAGAGAGAGAGAGAGAGAGAGAGAGAGAGAGAGAGAGAGAGAGAGAGAGAGAGAGAGAGAGAGAGAGAGAGAGAGAGAGAGAGAGAGAGAGAGAGAGAGAGAGAGAGAGAGAGAGAGAGAGAGAGAGAGAGAGAGACCGCAAGAGAGAGCAAGAGAGAAGCACTCATATCTAGTATTTATGAGTAGAAGAGACACTGTAGAAAGATGACATCCGGTCAGCGGACAGAGAACAGAATCTTCACCGATCAATCCTAGAAAGGTCTGTGTATCGATCTGTGTAGTGGCTCCATTGTGACATATCAAAACATCGCTCCAGACCTGAACACTTCTGATAGCACAAAATCACCTGATTCCAGTCGTAGACCATATACAGTACTGGTAAAATGTTTGGACACATCTACTCATTCCAGAGTTTTTCTTTATTTTTACTATTTTCTACATTGTAGAATAATAGTGAATACATCAAAACTATAAAATAATACATACGGAATCATGTAGTAACCAAACAAGTGTTAAACAAATCAAAGCTGTCATCAAGGCAAAGGGTGGCTACTTTGAAGAATTTGTAATATAAAATATATTTGGATTTGTTTAAGACTTTTTTGGTTACTACATGATTCCATATGTGTTATTTCATAGTTTTGATGTCTTCACTATTATTCTTCAATGTAGAAAATAGCAAAAATAAAGAAAAAATCCTTGAATGAGTAGGTGTGTCCAAACTTTTGACTGTTACTGTATATTGTTCTATCTCTGTGGTGCCAGTGTTCTTCACAAAAAACACAAAGAAAGCACACACACACACACACACATACACACACACACAAACACACTTGTTTGAATGTTCTTGTCTCAGTGAATTGATTATGGTTGATCAAATCGAAGTCTCCCTAACATATTGCTTATCTACTTTCGTGTAACATCTTTAGTGGCACGGAACATTCTGTCGTCAGGGCCAATTATCCCTCTTCAGAAGTAGGCCTAGCTATCCATGTTGGGCTCAATTCCAATTCAGTGCAGTACATTCTGGAGATGGAATGAAGTCCCTATTGAAGAATCCCCAAGTGCCATTCATTTATTAGAGATTACTGTTTTAATTTCAATCTCTTGAATTGATGGACTTGATGTGGAATTCACACCCATCCATCTCCTCTCCTTTGTATTGACGTTCTCCACACAATGCTGTGAAAGTGGACCAGCCATCCATTTGGAAACCATCAATAATCGACTGAAACTAGTCATGTAGGCTATTAGCATACCATTCTGATAGTAAAGGCTACTATTTAAAGGAAAACTCCACCCAAAAGCTATCTTTTGGTATTTGTTTCATTAGTCCATTGTTGATATAGTCCCAAAATGTTTCGCATGTCAGCAATCATCTTGAAAACTTGACTGCTGACATCAACAATGGACTAATGAAACACATACCAAAAGATAGTTTTGGGGTGGAATTTTCCTTTAAGCATCCTGTTAGGCTGCCAAAGCAGCTGCCGTCAATCGCGACCTGCCTCAAGCCCTGTGGTCCCGGTCCACGGCACGCTGAAGTGCGGTAATCAATAAGCGGTTTAATTATGGGAAAGTGCGCGGCTTCACGGCTCTTCACGGTTCAGTTCAGCTTAATGCCATCAGCTGATCCAGAAACGATCAACTTCGATAGAGGGGTCCTTACCATCTCAGTGGTTTTGCTGGTCACAAGCCATTCAATAGCTCACAAATTGCCCTCTCTGGCTCTCTCCTCCTCTTTCAGTTGTTAAAAGGTGTAGGGGGAGTAGAGTCATAGACGTGGTCACTTCTTGTAGTCTATGTTGCTATGTTTGTTGTAATATCACAACAGTTGTGAATTCAGGTGTGAATTTGATCATGTCAATGTCCTCAACTGCACATAGGGCTCCATGATGTTTCACTGCAAGACCGCTAGATGGTGCACATTGTCCTCTGGCAGTGAGTGGATGGTGGTTGATTAAGCAATAAGACCAGAGGGTGTGTGGTATATTTACATTTTAGTCATTTAGCAGACGCTCTTATCCAGAGCGACTTACAGTTAGTGAGTGCATACATTTTCATACTGGCCAATATACCACAGCTAAGGGCTGTTCTTAGGCATGACGCAACATCACAAACCCCCAAGGTGCCTTATTGCTATTATAAACTGGTTACCAATCTAATTAAAGCAGTAAAAATGAATGTTTTGTCATACCCGTGGTATACGGTCTGATATACATTTACAGTTACATTTACGTCATTTAGCAGACGCTCTTATCCAGAGCGATTTACAAATTGGTGCATTCACCGAAGCCACGGCTGTCAGCCAATCAGCTTTGAGGGTTCGAACCACCTCGTTTATAATATCAAATAACATGATGTGCCTACTCTTTGGAGTCTTTTAATTAATGCTTTGTGCATCTAGGCTTAATATCTCTCTTCATCTTTCACTTTTCAATTTTTTATTTGATCCTGCACTCTACAGTATGCCTCCAGTTGACCAACAACAGAGCTAGGTGCTTCTTCCCCTCTCTCTTCCTCCCCTCT